GTACGAACAAACAGGAAGCACCGCTCGGAGGGTCGGTTCTGGTCGCCCCCGAAAAACTTCTCCAAGAGATGATCGCTTCTTGAGATTGCGGATTTTACGGAATCGATCAAATACTGCGGTAAATGTTCAGCAAGATCTTCGCCAAATTCGTGATGTTGCAGTTAGTAAGCAGACGGAGGGGTATTTTCTCCAAACTTCTCATGGAAACATTATTTTTTCATGATAAATAAATGAATATTCTTATCGCATTTGGATAAACTGAGACATTCTTGGTTAATTTATGTTTACACATTAACGTGCAATTACTACTATAATTACATTTTATCAACTAATCCTTCTGCATATAAAGAAGGCTTTGGAAAATTTATTCAACATTCTTCACAGCAGTCGACAATACAAATCAAGTGTTATTCATCAAATGTTTGTTTTGTGACTGATAATACGTTTCAAAATTGATATTTTGTTAGCACTCTTCTGTAGGATTATTTCTCTCTCAATATCCATTATCATGAATAGGTAAATTTGATATTAACATAAACAATTGATAGGTAATAAGGGATTGGAATCAACCGAATAAGTTAGTAAATCTATCATCACTAGGAAACAATACCTAATAATTAAGCGAGAAGTTATTACCAACAATAGATAATTGATGGGTAAGGGAGTAATCATAACTGATTGGTCGCCCCCGAAAAACTTCTCCAAGAGATGATCGCTTCTTGAGATTGCGGATTTTACGGAATCGATCAAATACTACGGTAAATGTTCAGCAAGATCTTCGCCAAATTCGTGATGTTGCAGTAAGTAAGCAGACTAGCAGACGGTATGTAGACGTCTAAAAGAAGTTAATTTCAAAGCTAGGAGACCTGCAAAAGGTCCCAAATTATTTCCCGAACATCGTGCTGCTAGAAGAAATTTTTTGTTGAAAATTATGGACAGTGGAATATTCCTGAATGGTCGAATGTCTTGTTTACGGATGAGTCAAGGTTTTGCCCTAACATGGTGGATGGAAGAAAAAGAGTGTGGAGAAGAACTGGTGAACGGTTTCATCAAAATTTAATAACAGAATGCGAAAGTTTTAATGGTGGGTCCGTTATGGTGTGGGGAGAGATTTCAATGAATGGAAAGACACCCCTTCATGTTTTTCCGGTGAGGCAGTCGATAAATGCCCAGATTTACATTGACATTTTAGAGCAGTATGTCTTATACCTTATGCAGAGTTAGTGGGCAATAATTTTATATTGATGCAGGATAATGCCCGACCACACACCGCAGCAATAGTGCGAAACTGCTTAGAAGCTGGTATTACCACATTACAATGGCCTGCGAGAAGCCCCGATATGAATCCTATAGAACATTTGTGGGATGAATTAGGGAGAAGGGTACGATCTCGCGAGAGGTCTCCGGAAAGTCTCGCAGAAATGGCAGATGCATTAGTGGAAGAATGGGATCGTATACCAATGGAAACGATAAGCAACTTAATTTCCAGTATTCCTCGTAGATTAGAAGTTCTTAGAGTTGCTAGAGGAGGCAATACACGGTATCAAGCAGTCATCCCAATTTATAATTTTGTGTTCAATAAAAATGTTTTTTAAAATCATTGGTATCAGTTTATTTCATTAGAAAATTGTTTCTCGATAAATTCAGAAAGTTGGTAATCTGCAAGGATTCAGCAAAAAAACCTGTAATTCGAAAAATTTTAGAGATAAATCAATGAATAAAAAAACAAAATACTCGCAAAAGAAGCCTCTTTCGTATAGGGTGCAAGCACTTTCTATGCCATTAGTCAATTAACACACAGGGTGAGTCAAAAATTAAGAATAAATCATGGTTCGAGTTATTCCACCACCATCAAGGAGACTTTGAAAAAATGTGCACCTCTTTATTTTTTTTCAAAGACAAATGCATTACCTACCAACAAATGAAAAAAAATCGTGCCTGGCTAATCGAAATCAATAGGCATTCAGGAAAGAATCACTTGTATCAGTATTCGCTTATACGAGTCGATGCATAGATTTCGGGAGGATGTAATTCAATGTTCTGCGTGGTATTAGCCAGGAAAGTAGTTGTTTTTCTTCCGAAATCTACCATTGTTCTTCATTTCATGAACTTTGTGTGGAAATGATTTTGAGCTTTTCGTATTCATTTAAATATAAAGAATTTTGGTCTTCCTGGACCATTGTCTTATTATCATGGATTTTGATTGAAACTATCGTACTTTAAAAGGAAATGTAGGTCATAATATGTGGAAAAATAGTTATTTATGGGATTCGAAGGACAAGAAACTGTCGAAGCAAGTTTCCTTACCGATTTGATGTCATAGTTCAGGATTTTATTCAGATATGTAGGCGTTTGAGTCAGAAGAATGGAGCTACCCCAATTTGCTCCTACGAAAGCCAAAGTCACAGCCCAAAACGGAGGAGATTTCAAAATGGCTCTCCAAGGAGTATGATGTACCTGAAATCAAATGATCATGACATTTTTTCATCTCTTGGAGCGCACGGAATGGAATCCCTATTCTATTCAGCATAACCCATCTAGTACCTACTCATCTGCATTCATATGATATCTATCTACATTCGTCTTTCATTTATCTGGATTCTTTCGTTATCAACCTTGAAATATGTTGAACAACCCTTTACCAAAACTTGCACTTTTTATTGTTCTTATTTTTGAATCATTTTATATCGATTGCAACAAACTGGGAACATGAAGCAATAATAACGTGTGATGGAGTTGTTACTATGGAAGATTTGTGAGCATTGGACCTTGAATCCCAAGAAAAATCTCGCCCGCGGCGCATTTCTTACCATTCAAGAATGTTGTCTGAGTGTCCACTGAAATGGAGTTGTATTATCTCAAAAAAAACTCCAATACCTACCTCCTGTCCCTATCCTCCCTAAGAACGCACGATGTTCTTTGAACATTATAGGAACTCCCTTTCGTGCGCTCCAAGCGATAAAAAAAAAATTTGACGTTGAACTGAAAAATTTTTGTCTGCGGCGCATTTCCACTGTACCGGGTGTACCACTAAGAAAGGACGCCGGCTGTATCTCGGAAACTATTTTCCGCACAGGTTCCGGAAAAAAATATCTATGATAAAAGTGGCCAAGAAAAATCTCTGGAAATTATTTTCAAGTTTCCAGGACAGCCGCTAGAGAACTACCATTCATTTCAACTTCATTTTAGTTCACTTGAATTTCCCAAGTTTGACGAAAGAATCATAAAACCTCCGATGAAAATTTTGAATCGAATCGGAACATACTTACAAAACTCGTCCGCAATATTGGATCTACCATTTTGGATTCCCTAATTTTGACGAAGGAATCATAATTTCTGATCCCGAAAACGCCCTCTTACAAATTTTGAATATAATCGGTATCGTCCGTTATATTTTGGTTCCACCGTCTCGAATTTCCAAATTCCGCCCGAATTTTCGAATTCTGACGAAAGAATCATAATCTCCGACCCCGAAAATCCCCAGATACCAATTTTGAATTGAATCGGACCATAATTACGAAACTCGTCCGATATATTCGATCCGCCATCTTGAATTTCCTCATGGTACCGGGATAAAAAGTATCCTACAACCTTATCCTGGTTCTAACCTACCTCCCCACCTATTTGCAGCCAAATCGATCCAGTAGTTTCGGAGTCTATTCAATACATATAAACAAACAATCAAGTTTTTCCTCTTCATAATATTAGTATATCGGGTTGTCACAAAAAAACCGGAAGTTTTTATTTTCCTCGTGGTTTCATCATTTCTCAACCGAATTCGAATTTCTTGGCGTCGTTTCATAGCTAGAGGGCTATAGTATACAGTGGAATATTTGAGAATTTCATAATGAACAAAAACAAAATGGCGGATTCTACCAAAGTATTGTCATTTACAAAAGCCGCTGGACAAAAAGAAAATCAGATTTTTTCCAACCTGTACCGATGTCATCTTAGGCTATTCATTTTTGAAGAGAATGAGTACTCGAACATCGAAATCGAACACATATAGTCCAGTAGATACACTCATTTCTTTGCAATTTGTTATGGAGTGAATGTGCTAATCTCGTATAAACGATTATTATTATATTGCTTCAGGCTTCATGAAAATTCAATCGAATTTGGATTTCTTAGAGTTATTTCAGAGATGGAACATTTGAAAATCCAATAATTGAAAGAAACAAAATGGTGGAATATCCAGAATTTTTGTGATTTTCAAAAATCTCTGGCGAATAAAAAAAAGTTTATTCTTTCAATCAGGACCGATACAATTTTAGATCATAGATTTCTAGAAAGAATGAGCACTCGAACATCTGATTCGAACAATTAGTCCAGGAGAAACACGTTCTTTTTGGCAAAGTGTTATGGAGTGAATGTGCCAATCCCGTGATAAGAATTAGTTTTAGTTTGCTTCTGGCTTTATCAGAATTCAATCGAATTTGGATTTCTTGATGCCATTCCAAAGCTGAATAGCTATAGTACAGATGTTCGAGTGCACTTTCTTTTTAGAAATCAATGATCTAAAATTGTATCGGTCCTGATTGGAAGAATAAACATTTTTTTATTCGCCAGAGATTTTTGAAAATCCCGAAAATTCTGGATTCTCCACCATTTTGTTTCTTTCAATTATTGGATTTTCAAATGTTCCATTTTGTACTACAGTTCTTTATCTCTGAAATAACTCTAAGAAATTCAAATTCGATTGAATTTCATGAAGCCTGAAGCAAAATTATAATAATCGTTTATACGAGATTAGCACATTCACTCCATAACAAATTGCAAAGAAATGAGTGTATCTACTGGACTATTTGTTCGATTTCGATGTTCGAGTGCTCATTCTCTTCAAAAATGAATAGCCTAAGATGACATCGGTACAGGTTGGAAAAAATCTGATTTTCTTTTTGTCCAGCGGTTTTTGTAAATGACAATATTTTGGTAGAATCCGCCATTTTGTTTTTGTTCATTAAGAAATTCTCAAATATTCCACTGTATACTATAGCCCTTTAGCTATGAAACGACGCCAAGAAATTCGAATTCGGTTGAGAAATGATGAAACCACGAGGAAAATAAAAACTTCCGGTTTTTATGTGACCAACCCGATAGATATCCATTTTTTTTATGTTCATATTCGTATCTGAGAATATTCTTTTTAATGAATGATTTAACCCACATACTTTGTATTCTATTTGTCCCAAACTGGTCTCTATGTATTTTCTTTCGATATTGCTGATGGTCTTGTGTGTACTGGGTGTGTCTGCTCCGAATACAGACCAGGCCAAGGCCCACATCAAGCCCAGAGATCCGAAGAGGTAAAAGGAAGCCGGCCAGCCCCAATATCCCGAGCAAATCACCCCTGTTATCGGCAGACATAAGATGATTCCAAAGGTCCCACCTATAACATAATAATAAACTGCTACACCGTTGACGAGTTTTAGTAACTCACGATAATCAATAAATCACCCATCTGTATATGTCCAAATTAATAGGTGTCAAGTTTTGTCGTTTTATATAAAATGTTTGTTTTTTTTCTATATACAGGGTGTTTCAAAAAAACCTGACCCCCTCGCTAGGGTAGGTAGAACACTGCAAAATAAGTTGGGTTTGCTTTGTGAAAAAATGTCGTAACGGCATCTGTTTTCAAGATACAAGGTGTTGAAAAAATTATTTTTGTACACATTTTTCACGATTATGTCGAAACTACTGGCAACATTGTGATGAAATTTTGTATGAGTGTTCCTTGAAATCTGACACATCGCATGAATTTGTTTTTATATCTGACTTTCATAGAGGGCGCGAGTTACACGTTTCGTACCGAGTAGTTTAGATCATAACTTTTTTGAGGTCAGATTTTTCAATCCAAATATGATATGAACTTGAACATCATTCAATTTTACATCAAAAAGGTACACTTGGTGAAACTCGATACAATGTTCCGTTTTCGGATTATTTCGATTTGAAAATAATGGAGCAATAGCTGATGCTGGTATAAAATGAATATTATTGAGTTCAATGTTCAATTACCTATTTATTCAGATTCAAAAACAATAAAATCATTCTTGCACTGGAGTTATTGATGGAACAAAGAGTCATAAGTTGTAAATTAAGAGATATTTGACTAAAAACATTATAGGGATTCCCTTTCGTGCGCTCCAATCGATAAAAAAAAAAAAAAAAAAAAGTTAGTGTAAGTGTTCAAAATGTCCTACGTTTCGACGAATACACGATTCTAATTCCTTTTCTTGAGAATGTATTATTCTTTTAAACAGTTGAGAATCAGCTGTTAGGTCATTTGAGTGATGTACAATTATGTCTTACAACTCTTGACGTGAATTTACCTATGTAGCATAAACTTTCTGCTCAAGATACAACAAAACAGTGTAATCCATGTTCTTAGTCAAATCTGTTTCCATGTTATTCTTGTGATTCATTGTTAAATCAATAAGTTTAGCATCAGAAATGTATTCTTGTTTTCTGTTTTCAATAAATAGGTGATGATTTTTCATAATACTCACTATAATACATAGCTTTATACCAGCAACAGTTATCACTTCATCATTTTCAAATCGAAATATTCTGAAAACGGTACACAGTATCGAGATTTACCAAGAGTACCTTTTTGGTTTTAAATTGAATGATGTCTAAGTTCACATCAAATTTGGATCGAAAAATCTAACCTCAAAAAAGTTATGTTCAAAACTACTTGGTACGAACCTTGTAACTAGTGCCCTCTATGAGAGTCAGATATAAAAACGAATGCATGCGATGTGTCAGATTCCAAGAAACATCCATACAAAATTTCATCACAATGTTGCCAGTAGTTTCGTCAAAATCTTGAAAAATGTGTAAAAAAAATATTTTTTCAACACCTTGTATCTTGATAACGGATGCCGTTACGAAATTTTCTTACTAAGTAAACCCAACTTATTTTGCAGTGTTCTACCTACCCTAGTTAGGGGGTCAGGTTTTTTTGAAACACCCTGTATATATTTATCTCCTACTCTCTTATTTATACACAGACGTTTAAGTCAAGTTCCTCAAACATAATAATGCATTGTAAATTATACAACTGTGTGTTTTTACTGCCAAGGTAGTTTTCGTCATTTTATTATAACCAGTAGTCAATAAAGACACGAATAAAGTCATAAATAGGGTTATTTTCCTAAATTTCATTTCATTTCAGTGTAGAAAGAGTCACTTTCCCGCACCGAGTGCGGAATTTTTTTTCCGCATTCAGTTTTGGAAGCGGCTAGAACTGCAAACTTGGATCTACTACCATCAAAATCCCGTCACAGGTATGAAAAGGAATATAATTTGTTTGAAAACTGGTGCCAGAATAAGGGAATCAAAAGTTTTTTTGGCTTATTTCGCTGAAATTTCCAAAACATGCAAGCCAAACACTCTTTGGTCCAGGTACAGGGTGCGCCTCTTAAAATGGAATCCCCCCTTATCTCTTTCGTTTTCAAAGATATGAAAAATTGTTAAATGAAGAAGTTGTGTCAAACGATCCGAACTTCAATTTCGTGGAGTTGTTTCATGTACAGGGTCATTCATTTTTCGAGAAAGAACATCAACTTTGATTTTTTCAATGGAACACCGTATATATAATTTACGACATGTCGATAGAGCCTTCTTTTCTGATTTCAAAAATATATTTGAGTGCATATTTGGGTGAAAAATAGTTGTGTTATTGATGAACAAAATTTACCATAATACCGCATTATGGACCTTCACATCATATCATCTAATATGAGTTGAATATTGTGGGCTTTGAAATAAAGTTCATATATTGTTCAAACTCCATGAAAATGTCATAGTATTGTTTATTATGAAATTGAAATCGTTCAATCTCAATACAAAAACATATCAATAGACAGTTTCAATGAAAGATTCGGTATTTTGGTAAACTTTGATATTCAATAACTCAATTATTTTTTGTCCAAATATGCAACTCATATATATTATTGAAATCAGAAAAAAAGGCTCTGTCGACATGTCAGAAAATATATAGGCTGTTCCATAGGAAAAATCGAAGTTAATGTCCTCTCCGGAAAATCGAATGACCCTGTATATGAATCAACTTCACGAAATAAAAGTTTGGATCGTTTCAAACAACTTTTTGATTCATCATTTTTTCACATCTCTGCAATCAAAAGAGTTGAGTGGGGGTTCCATTTTAAGAAGCGCACCCTGTACTCAATGTTAAATAGTGTAATCAAACTAAAAAAAACTCGATTTGAGCAAGTTTTTTAAGGTCACGGCATATACAGTGTGTCCACCTTAAGGACTTACCACCCCTGTAAAATCGTTAATATCCGACCAATTTCAAAAAAACTTTTTTTGTTGGATAGGTATATGAAATGCCCATCCAACGAGATAGTGATCTAATTCTTGGACTGTTATCGTGGCCAACTGCGACAAATTTCAATGACCCATATTCCAGAAAGTACTATTAGGGATTTTTTTCCACGAAACTTGATGATGGATTCTGAATCAGTACCACTTGAAATATACCTGTACCGAATTTCATCATCATAAAACACAGGGTGTCCGAAAAAACGAATCATCATTTTCTTCAAATAGGTGATCAGCAAATGTAGTTCTGTGGTTTTTCTAGTAAGAAATAATCACAAATTATCATTGGGGATTACTTCAAATATACCTGTATCAATTTTCGTCATTTGAATATATACAATGTGTCTGAGAAAAAAATTAAAAAGGATAGGTAAGCAACATTTTTCATCCTGATAATTCTTCACTCGAAATAAAAAGATGAATCAGGATCACTTGGAACATACCTGTACCGATTTTCATCATCATCAAACACAGGGTGTTCGAAAAATCTAATCATTAATTTTTTTGAATTGATGAAAAAATATTGCCTACTTTTTCTTTTTAATTGTTTTCTCATACACATCGTATTTTTGAATGATGAAAATCGGTACAGATATGTGCAAAGTGATCCTCAATAATAATGTGTCATCAATTCTTCTCAAAAATACCACAATACTACATTTTCTGATCACCTATTAAAAAAAAAAACATAATTCGTTTTTTCGGACACCCTGTGTTTTATGATGATGAAAATCAGTAAAGGTGTTTTTCAAGTGATTGTGATTCAGAATCCATCATTGATTTTTTTGAAAAAAAATCCCTAATAGTACTTTCCCAAATATGGGTCAATAAAGTTGGTCGCAGTTGGCCACGATTACAGTTCATGAGTAAAATCACTCTCTTGTTGGATGGACATTTCGAATACCTATCCAACAAAAAAAAAGTTTTTTGAAATCGGTCAGATAATAACAATTTTACAGGGGTGGTAAGTCCTTAAGGTGGACACACAAAAACAAAACATTGGATTTAGGCCAAAAAAGGCAAAAATTTTCTTGTCTTGAAAGAAGAAATATTTCAGTTTATAAATGAAGCACCTGACGAAATTCATCTTCATAAAAGTATTTGATAATAAATGTTTCTTCATGTTAACACTTGGGTTTTTCCGCACGCTAGTAGAAAAAATAGTGCACTTGTTAGGTAAACTACTATTGCAATTTTGGAGAAATTTGAAAATTTCTCAATTTTCTTCATACACTCACCGGTATAGGCGACTGTTGCCATGACAGACCTCTCGCTAGGCGGGGCCCAACATCCCAGCAGCGTGTGCACCAAGGGGGCCACCCCCCCTTGGGCCAGGCCTTGGGAAACGCGGCAAATCATCACCCCCGTAGAACCGAATCGGCTGGCCATCACGGGGATGAGGATGCAAGACAGGGAATCGAGGGAGGTGCACCCCACCAGCATCCATTTAGCCCCGAATTTTTTACCTAATTGAGCTGAGGGGACTTGCAGGAGGACGTAGCCCCAGAAGAAGGCAGATAGCACCACGCTTTGGTTGTCCCAGTCGTAAACCTGGAAATTATGTCGGTATACTTGATATAATGTTTGTCGTAGATCTACAGAATTTTGAGAATCTTGGCAACATTGCATTCATCTGGAAGTATTCATAAAAGGATATTAATTTGCGACTTGGCTATTGTTTTTTACGTGACCTAATGCTGTGTATACAGGGTGCTAAGGCAAGAAGTACGAAGAAAATTAAGATTCATATTTACTCCTACGGAACCCCTGTCGTAATGAAATTGGAAGTTGGTATACTATTCCAGACCAATCAATGTAATCACATGAAGTTACTATTTCTGAATTCCGTGAAGCTCTGGCGTAGTTTCGATCGTATGTCGCCATATTTTCCGTAATAGTTCTTCTTAGACAGATGAATTGTCGAATTGGTATATCAGTTAGGCTCATCGACTCCTAACCTAAAAGTGATAACATTCCACAAGCCTTAATGTAGAGGTTCCTGCGATATTTGCGAAAGAATGAAGATATGTTGTGGTATCAAGGGGATGAGGATGCAGGACAACATCCATTTAGCCCCGAATTTTTCACCTAATTGGGCTGAGGGGACTTGCAGGAGGACGTAGCCCCAGAAGAAGGCGGATAGGACTACGCTTTGGTTGTCCCAGTCGTAAACCTGGAAATTATGTCGGTATACTTGATATTATGTTTGTCGTAGATCTACAGAATTTTAGTAATGTTGGCAACATTGCATTCATCTGAAAGTATTCATAAAAGGATATGAATTTGCGACTTGGCAACATCCAACGCTTCTGCATAATAGCACTAATAGTGAGGTGAGCCGCGTTGCCTATGGTACTTTCTGTTTTTTACGTGACCTAATGCTGTGTATACATAATGCTAAAAGGCAAGGAAGGGTCCAGTATGCTCATTTTCTGAGATACAGGGTGTCACCTATGATACACCGAATATAAGATCAGAAGATAATGTAACATAAAACAAGTACTTACCATGTACAGGGTTATCGAAGAGGTCCACCGCTATATTTAAGTTATTTCTTCTACTTAGAAAACGAAGCAATATGGGGGAGTTGAATGCTGTGAAATGAAGCATTTTCAAGGCGCTTGTAAGTTGTTTTTCTGGGTGACAAACCAAGAATTAGTTATTTCAATGCGGAACGCCCTGTTTTTCATATTCATATAAATATACAGCGTGTCTATACTTAGGTTGGCTACATATGGAAAACTCGAGGGGAAATTTCTTTATTATTAATCTTACGAGAATAAATATTCTTCATAAAAAGTTCTGCATTGTCTAAAATCAGGAATAGAGTCATCAGATATCAAGTTTTTTCAGCTGTGTACGACGTATGTCAAAAATATTAATTTTGCTCAAGAGTAAACAAAAATTCTGTCGTGTGTTTGAAAATTTTGTGGAAATCCTATCGTTTGTGAAGTTTTTACATTAGTTTGTTGTCTCATCAATAAAATGATTCACTCTGTTCTCCACTGTCAATATCATATCAATGGCACTGAACTAATGATAATAATTTCTCGTTATCACCATCTTTCTATAAGTTTATGGCTCATTTCTTAACCTAACGACATGAGATTGATGCATTCATTAGAATCAAATTATAGAGATATAATGTTGAAATCTTAATTTCATGATAACAACCATTCACCTCAATATAGGCTTCATCATCTTCCTACAAAGTACAGGAAAGTTTTCGGAATTATGTCGAAGTTTTTTTGGAATAAAGAAATAATATTCACTGCTGGACTAGAATACTCACTTCAATGTCTTTGTTTATTGATGTTTTTGGATCATTCATCGCAACTATAGCAACTGATAGTACTGATCTCATACAGTAAGTGAATGTCATTAAAAAAAAGTAGAAGACCATTTGTACATGTCGGCAACCGAAGAGTGGACCTGTAAAGATAAAATATATACTGAATAATATTCGAAAATTCTTTCAATATTTCAACAAAATTTGATCAGATATTTTCGCAATAATTATGGAAAAGCGATTTTTTTTTCGATCTTGAAAACAGTGTATTTTTGGACCCATGTATACATGAACTTGGAATCACTCGAAAAATCAACTCTTGAAATTTGGCCACGTACTTGAATAACACCCTGTTTGAAGAAAATTTGAATCTGATTTCTTCGTTCTGCACATACCTTTTTCATTCTCTCCTCCTCTTGATTTCAGGAAAAAAAAGCATCGGAGATTCATTTCACAACTATCTCCAGTTCAGACTTCAGTACCTGTGATCAATAATTGTATTAAAATATGGATACAAATACTTAATCATAAGATAAAAAAGTGATGTGGTAACATTTTCTAAAATAATGAGTGTAGCACTTTCCACCTTGAAAATTAGTAAAACATGGTACCTATGAAGAAACCTGAAATTTTCAGTAATTATCCAGTCTAATTATTGTCCCAAAAATCCGATTATATTCAAAATGACCTCTATCGAAATCACAAAAACGAAAAAAAAATCATCGCTATGTCACTTCAGTCAATGTACGCCCGCCCAATGGACATGAAAGAGGACATGATTTTTGACAAAAGGGATGTGTTTGGAGTAGATAGGAAAAGAAAATTCGAAAAGTCCCCGAACGTCTCCTTTTTTATTATCGTTCATATCTCAAGAACGGTGCGTCACAGCAAAAAAGTCACTCGATTCAAAATAAAATGCGTGACAAATTAAGTGGTCCAACAGAATAATTCACTTAATTTCAATGATAACAGAAATACGGAGCATTCGCGACTAGAGCAGAATACGTTGATGCCAGAAATAACTGCAGTCGAACAATAGATGCTTCGAAAGAAACATACAATGCCAAGATAAGATCGAAACTCATAGATTGCCCCAATGGCTCCCGTTCGTTTTGGTCCCTTGCTAAAGCGGTCGGAAGAAATTTCACTAATAGTTCATTTCCACCACTGTCCAAATCCGACGGCACATTAGCAACAACATCGCAGGAGAAAGCAAATATTTTTGCAGAGATTTTCGCAGCAAACTCTACTTTAGATTCCCAAGGAAAAGTGCCGCCAGACATTCCACCCGTTGAGAGTCGAATGCCCGAAATCGTCTTCCGTCAACGCACTATCAGACGAATTTTGCTTGGTCTCAAAACGAATAAGGCTAACGGTCCTGATGGAATTCCACCCATTATCCTCAAAAAATGTGCACCAGAATTAACACCGATTCTCTGCAAGTTGTTTACCATCTCGTACAGGTCGGGTATTTTTCCATCATGCTGGAAGACAGCTAGAGTCCAACCAATCCCCAAAAAAGGGAACAAGAATCTGCCCAACAACTACAGGCCCATTGCCCTGTTATCAGTAATCTCCAAAGTGATGGAGAAAGCCATCAACATTGAGCTCATCAAATATCTGGAGAGCTCAGGAATCATCAATGATAGACAATACGGCTTTCGCCACCGAAGATCTACTGGAGATCTACTTGCCTACGTCACCCATTTATGGCAAGCTTCATTAGAAAAACACGGGGAATCTTTAGCTGTCGCGTTGGACATATCGAAAGCATTTGACCGTGTTTGGCACAAACTACCATCATACGGCTTACCACCTCAGCTATGCCATCTCTTATCGAGTTTTCTTTCAGGCAAATCGCTCCATGTGGTGGTGGACGGTGTATAGTCTGATACCATTGGCATCAATTCCGGCGTTCCACAAGGATCAATTTTGGCACCAACATTATTCCTTCTGCATATCAATGATCTGTTGGGAGTAACAACTTGCCCCATCCACAGCTTCGCAGATGATAGTACCCTCCATACTGCGTTCTCATCCAGAATTCCCATCTCTTCCCAGGAAACTAAGAACTCACGGCGCAGGCATGTCAATGCTGTCAATGAAGACCTTGCTGAAATCACAGCCTGGGGAACCAACAACCTAGTTGAATTCAACGCTACCAAAACTCAAGCCCTTATTTTCTCTAGAAAGGCGGAACTCAGTATGCCCGACATTGTAATGTCTGGCACCACCATCTCCACCAAGTCCACCATATCTATGCTCGGTATTTCCATCAGCAACACTCTTTCATGGGATAATCATGTCAGATCCATCGCAAAAGCTGCCTCACAAAAACTCGGATTCTTGTTCCGTGCGAAAAGCTACTTTACACCTCAACAGCTTCTCATGATCTACAAAGCTCAGATACGGCCTGTTCTAGAATACTGTTCTCACATATGGGGTTCAGCACCAAAACATACGCTGATGCTCTTAGATTCCATCCAGAGAAGAGCCATCCGCCTGGTGGGTGACGCCACACTCACTCACTCTTTGACATCATTGGAACACCGTAGAAAGGCCGGCGACCTTTCACTTTTCTATCGATACTTCCACGGGAAATGTTCTTCGGAAATCTCTGCTATCATCCCTTCACTAGCAATACCAGTAGACGAACTAGACAAGCCCAGTCAGCACATCATTTCGTGTCAACCTCGAAAGATGTCGAACAGCACTGTATCAAAACTCCTTCATCCATAGAACGGCTAGGCTCTGGAATTCATTGCCTGAGGAAGTATTCCCAACAACATATAATCTCCAGAAGTTCAAAAAAAAATTCCAATACCTACCTCCTATCCTTATCCTCCCTAGGAACGCACGATGTTCTTTGAATATTGTAGGGATGCACGACTGAATTTCACGTATCTCTGGAATCTCGAATTACCCTGTAGATCGATATTCACTCAATTCAAAGAAATTGAAGTGATGAATTCCTCCCAGAATCGATTTCATAAAAAACTCTCTTATTTCATACACAGATCAGTTGAAATTGAGGAAATTTTGAAAAAAACGTCAATTCTCCATAAAAAAAGATGATGCATGTTAATGAAGTATGCTAGCGAAAAAATCTCGAAATCGTTTCGGCAAAACACATCAAGCATTCATAATATGCCCTAGAAAGAAATCCGAAACTTTTTCCATATGGTTGGGATAACTTTGAGAATATTCATTTCTGTAATGGGTCAATGTTTTTCCCTGTATATCTGATAACACAAACTTCATGGACAAAGTAGGTAGACCATCTCATTCTTGAACGATTATTACACAACATGGAACAAACCGTTCCAGAATCGGACTAGTATTTTTTGTAATATTTGATTTCGAAATTGAGTGGAATATTCAGGTGGACCACTTCATTTGTCACGCAGTTTAGTAGCTGATAAAATTGTCTACAAAATTATATCAGCAGTTGTTTTTTTCCTATCTTTCATAGTTATAGAGATATCCGCTAGCAAATCTTGTAAATTTAATCTTCAGGAACTTTGAAATTTCCATGAATAATATAAATAGTTAGTGAATTGGTCGTCCTTATTTCGAATCTCAAGTGAGTTTCAACATATCTTGGCCCTCATATTATTTTCCGGAAATGTGGGTAGTGCCATATGGCTGTTGGCGAGTAGTGTATATCACTGAAGATAACTTCACTTGGCAATAGTGTGTATTTTCGGTACATCTCCCGCTCCTGCAAATTTCATAATCGTAACACACAATTACGAAAGATACAGGGTTGCTTTCATTCAAATTGATTGTTCATGTTCAAAACGGAATATTTTCATTCTGAGTAAATATATAAACAAGCTGTTCACATTGAACTAAAGCTTACATCATGAAAAAATATTTAAATCATAATTTTTATAGTAAAAAACATTTTATGTCTTGAATAATACAATATATCGCGATCACTCCATGTTTTGCAGTGAAGAAACCAGTTATGTCATCTGAAACAAACAAGAACCATCCATGTCACATTTATTTCTACACCAGAAACAATACTGTTTTTGTATTATTTGACCTATTTTTTCGAGTTCGAATTATTTCGATACAAGTACTTATATAATTACTATTAACTTACTTGTTAGTGATGGACCAGATTTTCGCAGAATAAGACGCAAAAAGTTTAAGTGACTTCGCTGGTTTTTAAAAGGACTCACGGACAAAGCTGTTTTTTTCCTGTACGGTACATTTTAGACGTCCTTCAGTACAACACTACGCTGGTTTTTTCCCAGTTATAGTGCCGCAAAATATGCGTCTTCAACTAGAGAATTGCACGCCACCTATACCTGAATGTACCAGTAAAATTGACATGTCTGCTTTTTTCCGTGTACCCTTCATATGTGACATAACATTTTGAAATCAATTGAATCTTTTGCGACTTCTGCGTCGAATACTTTGGCGAAAAACTGTAGGTTGAGCCGTCAAAATACACTAGATAAAAAAAGCGATTACCAAGCATTCACATGAAAGATAAGGGAAAAAACCTACTGATACAATATTGTAGACCTACCGTTTTTGATATATGAACGATAAATCAAAAAAAGGAACCTTCTGCGTCGCCCTTGCACTTGGCTCACCTTGTAATTTCGGGGACTTTTGGGATTTTCACTTCCTATCTATTCAGAACATATCCCTAGTCCCAAAACCTCTTTTATGTCCCCTACAACCAGAACATTGACTGAACTATATTGTCAACTCATTCAATACAAACCCATACTTATACAACTTCTGCAATGAATTTTCAAGAAAAGTCAGCTCCACTAGAATATTTTCTATACTATGATCAGATTGCGAAAAAAATCTGAATTGATGGTACTCCTAAACGTCCAATTCATAGTGTATGTCTGATGATAAAGATAAAGACTGATAAAAGTCCTCTTCATTGTTATAGTAGGCAGAGGAAGTATATCTGATATCATAAGAGACAACAATTGTTCAGAGATTCTATTTAAAAAAAAACGAGATGTTTTTCTATCAGAAGATTGATCGAATGATAACTTGAATCAACTACTAACGTGGAATTATAGAATGAAAACAATTCGAGAGCTTCGTTGTGATTGATATATACAGGGGGGTTCAGGTTGAACGTCATTAATTTT